TATCCTAGTAACTACAAGTTGTAGACTAAGGAAGGGAAAGACTTGCAGCATTCTTGGAACACAGATCATCTGAAACAATACTACCAGTAGAACCTTTGTAATCTAAATCAGTTGTAAATTTTCAATCTCCAAATAAATGAAATTTCCCAAAGTTCTAGCTAAGAAAAACTTGCACAGTATGAATCCAATAGTTTTCTAGAGTCGCGAGCTCTTTAGCAGCGCAAATTCAACTAGGCTTTTCAGTTCGGAAGAGAGCTTTTCAGCTCAAAAGTCGCGAGTGAGGGAATCCGAATAGCCAAGCCACCAGGGAAAAGATACCGTTTCCTAAACTCCTCTGCCTTTGGAGCAATAACAATGAAGGGAAGCAGAAATACTGAGTACCATGGCACATCAATCATAGCTTGAGCTTGTTGCTTGAACAAAGGAGTAGGAGGGGAAGCCATGAAGCCAAAGAATTAGCAAAACGCACAAAGGACTCTTAAGAAAAATTGAAAATGCAAAAAGAAGAGATTCCAAGATAAAGAGAAGTGGATAACAGGCAAAGGTGAACAAGCGACTATGACACTTTTGCAATCATGGTAGAAGTTAATGAAGGCGGCGCGTGTGAAGGTTAGGTGAAGTTAGGTAAGCATGAGTAATAACCAATTTATTGCTTTTCACATGAGCCTGTACACCTCGATTTAAAGACGTACTACACTAATGGGAGGAACTAGCTGAGCAGAGTTGAGAAAAGTTAAAGACCTCGGATACACAACTCGATTACACAACATGGGATTGTGGGGATCGAGCACGGGAGGCAAAAGAGTAGCTAAAGTAACAACCATATTCCGACAAGGTCAAGACCTCCTTAGAGTAGAGGGGGCAAGGGGAGAACACAACAAGCAATTAGTAGCAAGCAATCAACAACATCAAAAACAAGTTAAGTATTCTTCATTTTAGTAAGTAAGAAGAGTGACACTTTTCAAAAAACAAAAAAAGGGGGGGGGAAGTAAAAAGCTTTTAAGGTTGGCTGGCAGAGTAGTGCCAAAAGGGCTGCTCGGAGAAAGGTCAAACCGAGGCTCAAACTGATCTAGACAAAGGTCAGGAAACTTCTCAACCTCCTGATCTACAAAGTTAAAGAACCCATCTACAAATGCCTTGGCGGTCTCCATCCTAGCCTACTTGATCTCTTTACGCGGCTCCTTGACCAACTGGAACTCAGTAGCTAAGGAATCTTTCAACTCGGCAATCACAGCACGAGAATCATCCACTTGTGCCATTAGCACTACCCTGTCGGTTTGATAGGAGATTAGCTCTTCTATTTGGACGTCGAGGTCCTGTTGCAAAGAGGTCAATTCTTCTGATTGGGACCTCAGTGGTTCCCACAAAGAGATCTTAGAAGAGGTAGTGGTGATCAATTGTCAAAAAATTCAATCTCTCTGATCAAGAGTCGTCTTTAACTCAGACTTTGTAGCTAGACCCCAACACAGGACAATGCCCTTTTTTCGAGCCTCCTCAAGCTCATCACTCCTCTAATGAGCCTCCTCCCTCAGATGGTGGATCTCCCCTCCGAGGGCACAGACATGTATCGTTGCTTAAGGCCAAAACCAAAAATTAAGGGATTACATGATCAAAATATGAGAAGTCAAAGACGAAAAAAGGCGAACCTACCTCGAGAAGTGCATGTAGAGCATCTCGACTCCTAGCTCTGAAAGGTTGGTTGACAGAGCAATAGAGGTCTATTTGGGGAATCAAATCTATAAGCGCTCGGCTACTTAAAGTCACATCGTCTAACAGGCTCCCCTCAAGGTCCACAAACGGAGCCAAAATTGCCTGACCCGAGCTGAGGCCCTTTACACTAGCTGGGGAGGAACCACACCGAACTGGCCCGTCATCTGGATCGCATGCTACTGTCCCTACCGTTGTTTCTTTGTCCTTGGGCACCGATTCAGACATTGGTGTTTCTTTAGCACAAGGCGTCGGTTTAGACACCGACATTTCACAGCACCAAGTAGCGCCTCAGGCGTGACTAGGAAACTCAGTGGCAATGGGGGCATAGATGCCTCGATAAGTGGGTGGAACCTTGACCTCGGCAGTTAAGCTTGATGCTGGAGCCGAGCTATCCTCTATAAGTCTAGCCCTCTTCGCCAAATGTCCTAGGCCCTGGGCTCGCCTCCTCTGACCCACTTGCTCCACAATCGCATCTCTTTAGCTGATTAGATATGCAGGAACTGTACAGAAAGGATGGTTAAGGAGTAAGCTCGACAGAACACATTAAATAGACATGGCGTAGTATAAAAAGAATAGCAAATACTCACGATTGCTCGAGGCCACAGCAAGTTCGGGATGCATAAGCTCTATATAAGAAAAGGGCAACCGAGCTCGAACGTGGTTAACCCGAACTTGTGTCTCGCCAGTCAAGCTCGGGTACTCACCTACAATACAAAAGAACAAAGCCAAAAGCCAAGTTAAACGCAGACAAGCGCAATAAGAGCAGATCAATAAAAGGAAAACTCACCGAGCCGAGAAAACTCACCAAGGTAGCCACGCCTTCCCCAGATTGTAGGAACTCTTACTGATGACATTATTTGGGGGCTCGAATTCTCAACCCGTCCTAGAGATGAAGAAATACCTCCTCCTCCACCCTTTAGGCTCAGAGGAAGGTCAGTGATAGAAATCTCTCTTCCTCGTCTCAGGGCAAAGTAGTAGAATTCAGACAATTCTACCGGATGAAAGAAGTTGAGAAACTCTGCAGGGGTGGCTCGAGGGCAAGCAAACATCCGTTCCCACAACACAAGGATAACCAACAAAATTGCCCACCCAGTTGGAAGTAACATAGCGGGGCAAAAGCCGAAGAAATGCAGCACTTCCCTCACAAAAGAAGGGATAGGAAACTATAGCCCTTGTTGGAAAAGGACTTCAAAAAATAAGACACAGTCTTTTATGGAACGGTGATATGAGTTATGTTCCGTAGCATGAATGACCATTTTGCTGGGAAATGCGTAGTGGTTAGCGATTGCTTGAACCTCGATTAGTTTCGACTTCGGGGTAGATCAATTGCTGGGAGTCATGATAGGAAGTGGGTGTTTGCGCCATGAAGACAAAAGATGAAACAAGTTTGCAGAGAAGAACTTCAAAACAAAAATTAGGAGCAAAAAGGAAAAGTTTCAACACCAAGGTAGAAGATCCGTTCACTGAAGGGACTATTTATAAGGACCGCTAGCAAGCACGAATCACGACTGCAGCAATCCATTAATGCGCTTCAGTCTCATTTAATACCACTGACACGTGGCCATCGTGGAGGAAGTAGGCACTACTTTTAAGGAGCCACTATCATCACCGGTGGCACATGTTCCCGACTGAATGAAACCGTTAAGTTTGCAGTACACGAAAAGGAATAAAAAATGTCCAAAATAGCCCCAGCAAGCAAAATAGCCCCCGACAACCCAAGCCATCTCAATAAAGGGGCAGCCCTGGTCTCACCAAGAATGTGACAACCCAGATCGGGACAACCAAGTCAGAGCATAGCCTAAGATAGGCTTTGTTGACCATTATTTTTAAAAGAAGCAAGAAAAAGCAATGACATACACATGTAAGAAAGAAAGAACTTGTAGGCAAGAAAGAACATTAAAGTTTCATTAAAATCGAAAAAATACATGTAAATGAGAATTACAAGTACAGAAGTTTGTTTCAACAATGAAAATTTGTCAACAGTCAAAAGAAATTTACACGGCGAGCTCCTTGCTCTTATCAACCGCCTCAACAACGAGCTCCTTGTCTGCACCAACTACCTCGGCACCAACCACCGCCTCCTTGTCCTTCTCCTAAGCCCAATTAGGGCTCCTTCACCGGCACTAACTGATTCAGTAGTGGCCTCTATAGTTGCCTCCGTCAACTTTTTTGCCCTAAGTTATGGCATGAAGGAATCCAAGTCGAGGTTAGGATATGCATCCTTAACTTGCTCTTGAAAGTTCATGAACCCTTTTACGAAGGCAGCAACATTTTCTTTGAGGAGCTCAGCGACCTTAGACTTCAGAAACGCCACTTTGATGTTTGTCCCCACCAGCTTAGCATTTTTTGATGCTAACTCTTTATCCCAGATCTTCAAGTGGGCATCCTTTAGCTAGGCAGATTCCTATTAGCGAGTGTTCAGCTCGTCATAGATCCTCCTCAGCTCAGCCACCTTGGCAACTTGGATAGCCACCTTCCCTTCAGCAACGTTTTTCCCCGCCTCGATAGACTTGGCAATGTTCCTCGCCTGTACTAACTCTCGCTCCTTCGCGGACAACTAAATCGAGAGCCGATCATGGTGAAATTTCATTATTCTCATGCATGCCAACGACTGACGAAAGAGAAAATAATCAATACAAATGAAAGGCAAAGATACATCAGGATGAATGCTCAGATAAAAAGGAAAATCACAAGGTACCTCAGTCAGGCTCTGGATGTCATGCTTGGTCTTTCTCTTAAAGGGAACTCGCATGGCCAGTTCGAGATTCGACGTGAGGATCAGCTCAGCTAGATCACTCACAGTGGTCTCGAGGTCACGGAGGAAGCCACTACCCTGAACAATTGACTGGGAGAAGCTAGGTTCCCTCTTCCCCTCCTTTGGCAAAGACGGTTGAGGGAGAACAGGAGGTACTATTGAGGGAGGGGCCGCTCAAGAGATATCGCCTCCTTAGCGGGCTTGGGGGGCATGGAAAAGGAGATTGCACCCTCAAGAGAGGCCAGGTCCTTGCATTTCTGCTCCAGAGAACTGAATGCCCGCTCGCCCGTCCTTCCTTGGGAGGCAGCTCAGAGCTCTTCACCAGTTTCCTTTTCTTTCTCATCTTCTCTGCATTGTTTTGATTGTTACATGCGATATTCAATTGAATCGTAAATGAGGGGGAAAAAAACCTAGTCATGCGGGCCGCCTTAAAGTACAATTTTCACCAAGCGGCGGGTAGAATTCTTTGTAGACGACTTAAATACGCGATAGGGTATTGTAAGTGATAGAGTGGCAAAGTTTGTTATAATAAGTTATGGATCCATCTGCTCATGCAGGTCGGCAGACAAGGGGTCAAGAATGTGAGCAGAATGTGCGTCGATGGGGGGCCCAAGTTCGTATTTGGCAAGGTTCTCCTTAGTTACAAGGTCCAAGAAAGATTTCAAGCCAGAAGCTTTTGCCTTGCCCATCTTACAGCTTCTACAACATCAAGAACCGGTCAGAAGCTTGTGGACCAAATCACAAGTTAGAATGACGAGTCAAATAAGAGATTTTACTAACAGATATAAGAAAAAGCATAGTAAGTTATTAGGCTTACGAGTGTTCATTGGAACTCCCCAGGACCGAGGAATGCGAGGGACATCGCTAGGTACTTCTGATAAGTTCTGGGAATCACCTTCTTTGTGGCTTCCACCCCATGTTAGAAGAAGGGAGCCCAAAAAATAGACTCTTCGCCTTCACCCTCTTAGCAAAATATAGGAAGCCCAACGAAGGAGAAGACTTGAGCTAAAAAATGGAGGCGAATTTGCGAGTTGTGGGTGGAGAGTCATTTTCACTCTTAACCCAGTGCTTAAGGAAGCTGACCAATAGACCCCTGCCGTTCGGAGATAGCCGAGTTGGGCAGACATTGTAGAAAGCTAGAATGTTTCGGATAAAGGGATGAACAAGAAATTGGAGGCCAGCGCGGAAGGCCGACTCAAAAAAACAGGTCATCCCAGGAATGTACGAATTGCACCTCTCATCTATTTTTTATTCAAGCGCAGGAGAACAATGACGAGATTAAGCTTAAATCAAGAAGCGAGGGCTGTGAAGAGCCATTGGCTCCAATTGTGGACAAGGTTTGTTGACTTCTGCCAAAAAATAATTTACGGTAGTTTGTCAATTTAAGATGGTAAATTTAGATCTTGGAAACTGCAATAGTACAATTGCATAGGTTGTATCTAAACCATAAATGAAATGTTAGTTGCTTTTTTGTCAGCTTTTTTTGGGCAATCATTGATTTGGTGAACCTTTTTCAGCCATCACATTTCTATTATAAGAATTGAATTTATGATTCATGAAGCGTTTGTCAGGAATTTGATTCATGAAGCTTTCTAGCCTTAAGGAGCCATCTTTCTTGAAGGTTCTGAAAATAGAATATGCTAGGATGTAACCGTTTCTTGGGATAATGGTTGGGATGCTGATGTGCCTAGGGGAGACTATTGAAGGCCATTGGAATACTACCCTAGTTTACCTGTCCTTCTTTTGGTTATTCTGTGGGTCCAACTCTCCATGATATGGGGGGGCTGTTATTGATTTAGGATCCCTTTTGGTAAGATTTGTGGTGGGAGATCGCCCCTTTAAAGATGGTGTCTTGCTTGATTTCACTTTGAAGACTTAATGGTTCCATTTCCTTCTCTGCTGCTGTTTTAATTGTTTCCACTTCTTGGAACCTTAAATTGTCTCAGGAATCTTGATGTTGCCCATTTTTTACTCAGGAGCTGTTTATTGTTTGATAAGAGACAATAATTTTCGTTAAAGATAGGAAGAAGTGCAAGAAAGGTGGACAGGAATCCAGCTAAAGCACAAATAAAAAAATAATGGAGTAACACAGACTCCGGGAAGGAATATCCCTCCCTTAGATCTTCCAAATCCTCTTCGTCGAGGTGACTCGGGGTCGTCTCTGCACAACACGCGTGGTTAGAAAGATCCCGCCGAGTCTTTGTCTTCTTAAGAAAACTTCCTGTGTTATTTCTGATCTCCAGTTTCTCTCAGTAATTCGAAGACCAAGTCTTCTATGATTCTCCAACCTTTCCGATTCGTTTCCCCCTTTTTTCCCTTCAGGATGGCATCTCCCCTCGGATGCTAGGCCACGTAAGTACCCATAGCTTGTTATGATAACAACTGCAAGAAAATTCCTTACATGGACAAAAAACTTCTTGTTTCTGGACTAGGAAATGCTTCTTATATGAAGGTGGTGACAGATAATTTTAATCTTAATGTTTGACATTGCAGTCGTGCCTGCCTATGTTTATTATTGTATTTTACAACCACCTAGGTGCTGCAACATGTGACATGTCCCTTACAAAGTTTTAATCTTCATACTATCGTAGCTGATAATAATTGCTTTCTTGTTTACATTTCCAGATAAATGGTCAACCCAAAGCTGCAGTAAGATCGTTTATCCAATTGGACAAGCTTAACAAGTGTGTACTTGTAGAAAAATGCCTTTTCAGGTTGAATTCTACAATGAATGTAAGTATGATTCTCACTGTCTACAATCTTATTTAGTTGCCAAAGTTTTGCCAAATTCGCTATAGTGCTTCATGAGCTTGATGTCACTGAATCCCTTTATATATAGTGCTATGGATATGTGTTATTATTTGGCTTATTCAATAGTTCAAGTTCTTGTGAATGCAATTTAGTTACTAAACTGCTCTGGTTCTTTCTGGGCTTGATTTCACTATGCCCACATTTATATGTTGAGAATTTTGTTCCTCAGTATGGACATTATAATGTTCCTCTTTTGCTTGTTTGATGATTTTAAGATCCCATGGTTTTCATTTTGTATTAGGCAGATCATTCATGGATCAACCGAGACATAGCCGATGGGTTCTGGCTTGCTTGAAGCAATGCTGTACTTGAGGAGAAGTATGGAGGGGCTCCGTCTCTAATTGATTTTGTTGGAAGGTTCTGTCCCCTGAAGTCTGGTTTTGTGGTGTATCAAATACAAAGATGTAGATAAGCCTTACAAATTCCCACATTGGTTACTATATTTAGCATGCAATTGTGGTGGTTGGTAGAAATTTGACTCCATGCCCATTATTAGCGATTGACTTGTTGGGATGACAAATGGATTCCCTCGATCCCACAATTCAAAATCTTATCAGCCAAACCGCAAACTGCAACATCGACTTGGTCCAAGAGGTGATTAATCAAGGCACCAGAGAATGGAACGAAAATCTGCTCAGAGAGTTGGTTACGGAACAAGAAAGGAAAGCTATCATGGCTGTAGACATTAAATTTTTTAATGTCTACAATGGCCATTCCCATTTTCAAAAACTGGAGGAGATGACAGAAGGATGTGGTACCCCAACATGAACAGAACCTCTACGGTCAAGTCAGGCTTTGCAATGGCAAAAAATCATAGCCAAAGCCACAAGTCAACCCGTGGTCGCTCTTCTTCCCAGGTCCACTCAAACTTGTGGAAAATTATTTGGAATCTTAAAGTCAGTCCCAAGATAAAGCATTTCTGGTGGAAAGTATGTGATAATGCCTTGGCAATACAGGAAAATCTTTTTAGAAGGAAAAGCGTCTCAACCCCAATTTGTCAAGTGTGCAAGCAAGACGTGTAAGCAGTGGAGCACATGCTATTTACATGCGAATGGACCCAACCAGTCTGGTTTGGAATAGATCTTGGCTACAGGGCAATCAAGTATCCTTTCCCAACAATCAAGCAATGGACCTCCTCCCTCATAGAAAATCTGCAGGAAGGCAATTGGCGAGGAACGTGATCAGCAGAGCACCAACAGTTGGTTGGATGATTTAGAAATCACGGAACGAAACTATCTTCGACCTCAAAGGTCCCAACCTTTTAGGAGGAATTCTGCTCTACATATATGGATTAAGAATAATTAAAAAAGAGCATCACAAGCAACTGTGTCTCCATCCCCACAATGGCAACCTCCTGATACCGGGGAGCTTAAAATTAACTGTGATGGTGCTTTTAATTACGTCAAAAACCAAGGGGCTGTTGGAAATATCGTCAGAGACAAGTTGGGATGGCTAATTGAAGGCCGGGGAAAGAGAATCTAAGCTATATGCAGCAGATATTCTGAAGCTATTGCTGTAAGGGATGCATGTTTAACGGCCACAGCATTGCAATTGGAAAATGCCACCATAGAAAGTGAGAATAAAGAAGTCATCCTGCTCAGCTCAACAGGAGTGGCCCCGTGGGAAATAGCAGTTCTTGGTTCTAGCAAAGAACTTAAATTTAAGTTTTTGTCATGTTCCTAGAGCCTACAACATGGCTGCTCATTAATTAATTTTTTTTTTAACAGGACTTGGTTAATATGCTATGCAAATCGTGTAAAAGTATATACTAACCTAGAGCTACTACGTCTACGGCATATCCTCTTGTTTTCTGGGTTTTTAATATCAAATGAGTGATCAAATATTATGTATGGATGGTTAGATAGGATATTATTTTAGCTTAAACTTGTTTATCAACTTTTTTATATTGTTGTTTTAGAGTCAGACAGATATGCTTTTGCATTACGAGGAGTGCTTTGGAAAGATGGAATTGGATTCCAGTATGATGAACTTAGATCTAGACTTTAACTTAGGCTATAAAGCCTCTAATTTATGAATAACTAGCGGTGGTCTGCTTCGTGCGATGCAGGGTATTATAAATAGCCTCTCTTTTTTATTTATTTTTAACTCTTTTCTTCTTTTGTTTTATCACTTGAGAAGATAAATAAATAATTGTAGGAAATCTTTGGCTGGTAAAAAATATTTTTTTTAATAAATTTGAAAAATAGTAATTGGTTGTAAGGGAATTGAGAGGTAATTACTAATGACACATGTCATCGCTTGATTTGAAACAACCTTCAATTTTAAATTCTAAGAATTTAGGAAATTGCGAGAGAAGATTTCTCAAGTTCTTTCCCTTTTAAATTGTTTGTTTTATATATATACTAGTAGCCCATTCTCACACAGGATTATTATTCGTGTTTTTTTAATTTTTTTTAATTTTATTATGTGAGAAGTTAAATAAATAATTATATTAATTTTTTGGGTAATAAAATATTTTTGTTGAAAATTGTATCCATTCTCTTGCTCTCTAGTAAACTAATGTACTCTCTCTTACTCACTATCTAGTAAATACAAATTCTTTTTTTTATTTTTTGTGTTATAATTTTTTTTTTATTTCTATTATGAAAAATAAACCAATTTTTTTTATTAAACTATAAAAATTAAAATCAATAGATTATGATTGTTTAAAATTAAAATTGATAAAATCTTCTAAGAACAATTATCACAATAAAGATTAGACTATTTTTAATCTGAAAAAATAAATTTTGAATAAAAATTTATTAATATTAAAAATAAAAAGACTCATTTGTAATAGTCGTTTTAGGTCTCAAATAGTTTTGGGACGCCCTTGGTAGTATGATGTCTAATTTTTTGTGGGGTCAAATGGATGAAGATAAGAAAATTCATTGAATTTCTTGGAAAGAGTTGTGTTTATCTAAGTTTAATGCTCCATTTGGTACGATGAAAAAATGGGAGGATGAAAAATTGGAAATATAGAAAGTTGGAGGAATAAATAAAACATCGTATTTGGTAAGGAAGAAAAGTAGGAAGAATAGAAAAGTAAATGAATTAACTTTTCTTCCAACTCACCAAAATCGGAAGGAAAGTGGATGAAAAATTAATTATTTGTTTTGAAATATATATATAATTTAAAAATAAATTAAAATTTTAAAAATAAATTAAAAAAATTTTAAAAAATTAAATTAAATTAAATTTTTTTTTTTGCCATTTTAACTAAAGGTGAAAATTTTCGACTCAACACGATGACATGCCTCGAATTTAATACAAAAATAAACATGTCAACTCGTAACTCAACACAACACAATTAGTTAAATGAGTTAAGTTAGGTTTGACTAATATTTGACATAAAACCATAATTACTCAACATGAATCTGACACGACATGATTTAATTGTCACATCTAATCTTAGCTAGCACAAAAAAAAATATTTTTCCTACTTTTCATCGTTGAAAAATAGAAAGTGTAATCTCCTACTTTCTACTCTACCTACTTTTCATCCTCCCTACCAAACGGAATATGAAGATAGGATGAGCTTAAGAGATATTGAGGTTTTTAATGTTGCTTTATTGGCGAAGCAGTATTGTAGGCTCCTCAGAATTCATTCGTTCTTGATGGGACTCTTCTGAAAAGCCCTAAGATGAAGACACGTGTCCTCGGGGTTTTTGGAACAGTGTTGCCCGGATGTAAGCACCATCGGCGAAGAGCGTCCTTTACCCCGAGGTACCTCTCATAGGATCACACATTCGGTGTATTATACAACAAACACGTATCCTCGGTCACACGTGTACCTCGGAAACATACCACCCTCGGTCCCCGAGGTAAGCCTTTCCTCGGTGCCGAGGGTCACTCCATCCTGGACGCTTCCTCTACTCCCGGATAAAGCTACTGACGTACTGGACATCAACCTATGCCAGTCTGGACTATTCATCATGACCTCGTCTTACACAAGTAATGTCAGAACGTTCTGGAATACCGACGTCACAGCCAATAAGGGATGGACGCGTGGCAAATAATGTCACATCAGAAGCAGACAAACCGCATGCCGTTGCTGGCACGCGACTTGGGAAAGCAAACAATTAATTGCACCCTTCTGTTGACGAGACCGCATTCAATGCGGTAAGGTTCGGATATGAAAGGCAATAAATGCTCCTATTACAGAGCATTTATTGCATCCTTCCCGAAAGGAGCATATTGTACCGTCGGCGTCCCGACAGACTCAGCATTGATTGCTCGGGATCCCGAGCAGTCAATTAGAGAAGACATTCCTCATCAAGTCAATACACACGCTACCTGTGCCTGATGATCACCTACTGACCACACTGACAGCAATCATGAGTTTCTAAGGTATAAATATTCCTCCCAAAAGGCAAAGCGGGTATGCAATCACAAACTCTCGACTACGAAATATCCTTCTCAGTGTTTTCTCCTTCCTCTCTCTCATTCAAAAACTGACTAGACCGTCGGAGGGGATACGCCGGAAAACACTCCGGCGCCCTTCTAACTTGTTCTCCTTTGTTCCAGGAAATACCTTTCACACGTACAGGATCGTTCTTCCTTTCCCAGGATCTTCCTTTGCCATTCCAGGTTGCCACCGTACCTTGTAGGCTGTTTCAAGCAGCGTGTTTGGCCACTCAACCGGCTCACTCAGAGTTCACCAGGAGAGAGATCTGTTCCCAATATTTTATATATCGTGCAGGATCGAGCCCGCACAGTTCTCTAAATATTTCCCTCCTTCTTCTTTGGTGGATGGGAACCTTGGTTCTAACCCTTCTTATTTTTGTGGAAGTATTTTAGCATCAAGACGTGGATGAAGTAGGTTTGCGGTGGCGAATTGGCAATGGACAAAATATAAAGGGTCAACTCGATAGGTGGATTCCTAAACCATATACTTTCAGAGTTAGCAGTTAGCAGTCCTTTGTCAGATATTGATGATGACACGAAAGTGAGTTTTTTTATTGATCCTGAGACTCACAGTAGGAATGTTGAAGCACTTCATCACCATTTTCTGGATTTTGAAGTTAAATGATATCATTTCTATCCCTCTCTGTCAACAATTGTTGGAAGATCCTCTGCGGTGGCATTATACGAATTCTGGCCCTTGCATACACCTTGCTATTGAACAAAATTTGGTTGGTGTACAGCACCATTCTGGTTTTACTAGCAGGGAGGGTGATAACTGGCCTAGGATGTTTATTTGGTCTCTAAAGGTACCTAACAAGATTAAGAATTTTGCATGGAGGCTGTTTATTGATATTCTACCTATCTTATGCAACTTGCAACGGAAAAGAGTTCATGTTCTTAATGAGTGTTATTTGTGTGGTGAATCGAATGAGTCATCTTTCCATTTATTTTTAATGTGTCCTTTTGCAATTGCTGTTTGGGAAGTAGCTGGCTTACATTTCTCTCAAAGCTCTTTCTCAAGTGCTCAAGAATGGTGGTTTATATCTCTGAACATTTACAGGCTGAACAGTTTGCTTTGGTGGTTGTCATTGCTTGGGCTGTTTGGTTTAATAGGAAAAGCAAGAGTGGAGGAGTGCTACAGAGATCCATTTGAAATTGTTGAATTTTCTAAGGATTATCTTCAACAATTCCAACGCATACAAGATCAAGGTTTGGCTGTTGGTGTTCAAGTTGGTCGTCCATCAGTAGTCAAATGGTCTGCTCCTCCAATGGGTTTTTGTAAAATAAATTTTGATGCGGCAGTCTTTAGTTCCTGTGGATGCTCAGGCATGGGAGTGGTGCTGCGGAATCATGGACATTTTTTAGCAGGCCTGAGTCTTAACTTAGTTGGACAACTAAGTGCTAATAACGTTGAAGCTTGGGCTGCTTTCACTGCAGTTCGTCTTGGCCATGAACTCGGTTTTAGGAGGATTGTTTTAGAAGGTGACTCCAAAGTAGTTACTGATGCTATTTAGAAGACTCAGTCGACTTTGTCAGAGATAGGAAATTTTATGGAGAAGATTCAGGCTTATGGTTCCTCTTTCTAGTCTTTCACAGTTTCTTGGATTCGTAGAGGAGGTAATGAAGTTGCTAACTATTTTGCTCATTTTGATGTAAATTGTAGTTATCTATCTATATGGTTGCTACCGATGGACATTTGGTTTAATAGTACTCCTTACCTTGTGAAAATTTTGCCTTCTTGAGGTCAAGGATTCAAATCCCCTCTCAAAAAAAAAAAAATTTGTATGGTTGGTGGAGGAGGTACTCCTCTCTAGTCAATGAAA